TCTTAAACAGGGGGAGCCCTGCTTCCAGCCAAATCTAACAACTTGCTGGTTTTTCACTCTTTTCTCTGCCAGGGAGCCATCATATATGCAATCCCTGTATTGGAAAGACCATCTCAGTGGGGATTTTATTTACTTTATTGGGAGCGTAAGTGGAGGAGTGTTCAGGCTGCTGGCCTTGGTGTTGACACAGAAACCAGGGAAAATGCATTTTGCTAAACTTGACATTCCCTGAATTGTAAACACCCTTAACATAGCATTCTGGAAACTAAGTTCTCATGAAGAGAACTGCAAACTGGGGGGCCAAGGGATCCAACTGGAAGGAACACTTTATTTTCCCCTATTTGTTCAAATTATAGACGAACCATGTCACAGGTCTTGGACAGGCTCTGCCACAGTCCCATCGAGGCACTGACGTGGTCTGCACCATCGTGAGCTGAACATGGGTCCCAGTGCGGGTCCCTGGAGGGTGGTTGGGCGGGGGTGGGAGGGGCAGCCTTGCCCAGGAATCCCTATTCCCAGACCTTGGGCCTGCCCAGCGCTGTGCCCCCATCCACTTGGCTGGGTGACCTCCAGCTGGGGCTGGCTCTCAGGCCCAAGTACACTCTCAACCTGCTCTTTCTGAGATTTCTACTCTTATGAGATCAAAGGCTTTTCTGCAGCCAGAGAATCCTATGCACACCTCCTTTGAACTCCTGTAACACTGAAAAGCCGAAAACATCTGCCCACAGCTCGTCACTTCGGAAGTCGTCTTCTTTTCTTTTCGATCAGAACATTCTGAAACCACTTTCTAGCTGAGATGAAATTGCGATTTGGTGCAGATCTTCAAAAATGAATGCCTGGGAAACCACCTTTAACTCTTTTGAATTTAAAAAAAAACCAAAAACTCTTTTTTAGGATCTTCCTCAAGGAATGAGGTCGTTTCCTCCCCTGCCAACTCTTTCCCTCCCTTTTCAGTAGGGTCACCTTCTTTTGGTCATATTTGGTAAAAAGGAGGCTTTAAAAATACTATTAAACTGAGGCATAATTCACCTATCATATAATTCAGGCTTATAATGTTGTATACTGTGGTGGTTTTTAGTGTATTTCAAAGTTGTGCAACCATCACTACAATCTAATTCCAGAACATTTTCATCATTCCAAAAAGAAACCTCATACTCATCAGCAGTCACTTTTCATTATTCCCTCCGCCCAGCCCCTGGCAACCACCGTTCTACTTTCTGTTTCCACGGGTTTGCCTATTCTGGATGTTTCCTACGAATGGAATCACACAATATGTGGCCTTTTGTGTCTGGCTTCTTTAGCTCAGCGTAATGTTTTTAAGGTTCATCCATTTTTAAGGTACATCCATTAAGGTAGTAACTTCATTCTTTCTCATTGGTGAATAATATTCTGTGGTTTGGATACACCACATTTGGCTTATCCATTCATTAGCTGATGCACATTTGAGATGTTTCTATGTTTTAGCCAAAAGCAATAATGCCGCTGTGAACATTCATGTACATGTTTTTGTGTGGACATATGTTCTCAGTTCTCTTGGGTATCTATCTAGGAGTGGAATTGCAAGACCATATTGTACCTTTGTGTTTTTAACTTTTTGAGAAACTCTCATCCTGTTTTCCAAAGTAGCTGCATAACTTTGTATTCTCACCAGCAATATATGAGGGTTTTGATTCCTCCACATCCTCCCCAGCATGTATTGTCCATCTTTTTGATACAGTTATCCTAGTAGATGAGAATTATATCTTTGTGGTTTTGATTTTCATTTCCCTAATGACTACAATTGTTGGCATCTTTTCATGTGTATGTTAGTCTTTTGTGCATCTTCTTTGGAAAAAATAGCAAAATTATTTGACCATTTTTCGATAGGATTGTATTTTTATTGCTGAGTTATGAATTGTTTCTATATTCTTTATACAAGCCCTTTGTCAGATGCCTAATTTGCAAAAATTTTCTCCCATTCTGTGGGCTTGTTTTTCACTTTCTTGATGCTATCCTTTGAAACACCAAAGTTTTCAATTTTCATGAACTCTAATTTATCTATTTTTAACTTTTGTTGTGTGTTCTTTTGGTGTCATGTCTAAGAAACCATTGCCTTGTCTCAAGTCATGAATATTTATGCTTATGTTTTCTTCAAAGAGTTTTATAGTTTTGGCTACTACATTAGGGCCTTTCCACCATTTTGGGTTAATTTTTGTGTATGGTATGAGAGAGGACCCAGATTCACTCTGTTGCATGTCCTAGCACCATTTGTTGAAAAGATTATTCTTCCCCATTGAATTCTCTGCCCTTAATGAAAATCAACTGACCATAGGTGTATGGATTATTTCTGGTCTCTTAATCCTATTCTCTTGCTCTATATGTCTATCCTTATGTCAATAGCACACTGTCTTGATTACTATGGCTTTGTAGTCAGTTTTGAAATCAGGAAGTCCTAGTCCCCTCCAACTTTGTTTTTTTTTTTAGAATTGTTTTGGCTATTGTGTCCCTGGCATTTCTATGTGAATTTTAGAATCAACTTGTCAATTTCTGTGAAAAGGGGAGCAATTTTATAGGGATTGCATTGAGTCTATAGATTAATTTGAGGCAAATTGTCATCTTAACAATATTGTCTTCCCATCCATGCACATAGGCTGTCTTTCTATTCATGTCTTTAATTTTTTTCAATGATGATGTGTTTACACACAAGGTAATGTATATATAGGTCTTGCACTTTTTCGTTAAATTTATTCCTCAGTGTTCTGTTTCTTTTGTTGTTATTACAAATGGAATTGTTTCCTTAATGTCATGTTTGATTTGTTTATTACCAGTGTATAGAAATACAATTGATACTTTATATATTGATCTTATATTTTGCAACCTTGTAGAATTTTTCTATTAGTTCTGATAGTTTTAGCGTGGATTCCTTAGGCTTTTCTATGTTTGAGAGCATGTTGTCTGTGAATAGAGATAGATTTACTTCTTCCTTTCCAATCCTGATCATGCTTTTTATTAGGAGGCTGTTTCTATAATCAGTCTTGCTCCCCCGATCCTCCCCCACCCCTCACTGCTCCTGTCTCCTCCGAGCTGTTGCCCTCTCCCAGGGTCACGTAGCACAGCAAACAACTTTAAACTCGGTGTCAGGCATCACAGCCCTAAAGACTGGTGCCCATCTCCCTCCTGGGGATTTCTCTCTGGCTAGTCTTCTCTTCGGATGGCCCCAGTGCCTGGACATCTTCTTGGGCCCCATTCTATCTCCAGGTGCCCTCATACTTCCTCCATTTTCAATCACTTCAAGTACTTTAATCTTCTCTCTCTGGGGTGTCCTCAAAATTTTCTTCACTTAATTACGCAGAGCAGTTCTACTCTCACTGCCTCACACACTCCTCTCCATTTGCAGTCAGGGTCCTATAATAACACCAGAAAATTTAAAAAGTGAACCAAAATCAAGCCCCATATAAAAACACCCTATTGAGATGCATCAAAAGATTTTCCTAAACTAAAGAATGGTCTCTGGAGAAGACCCACCTCTCCCCTAGAAGTCAGGAATGGCTGCCATCAGTTTTGCTAAAGGATAGTAATCCTCCCCCTCCCACCTCAGAGGAGTTAAATCAACTTTTGTTTTTCTTCCCCTGAGGCTCTAGTTTGATAAGAGAGCCATTATCTGGGAAATGAGAATATCCCCAGATGGCCAGGCACTGGGAATCTGAAGGTGCCACGCTCACCCATCTTCCTGAAAAGTGAAGCAGGCTGCTGCTGGGGAGTGGGTGTGAGTCTGCAGGGGGCGTAGAGCAAGAAACATGCTGCCGCCTGGTTCTACAAGGATGCGTCACCAGCCACTACTGTCACTGACCTCAGGTGCACCCCGAGAGGAAGAAGCAGTCTGTGTTCTGGGTAAGTGGGCCCCTAGATAGCTAAGATGCACATCTCAGGAAGGATCTCAATGACCCCAAATTCTTGCATCTTCCCAAATATATAGATAAGCACTAAAATCATTCACTTGAAATATCTGGTTTCTTTGTGATTAGCAGTAATCTTTTACCAAGATGTATCCCTGACTACAGGTAATTTCTAGCCAAAAAAAGTCATGTCTATCCTGGCTCCTCCCCCAACTCTTTGGAGCAGTTCCTCAGAGCCATCTGAGACGTTGTCTTCCCTGGTTGTAGTCTCAGTAAGGTCCTTAATAAAACTGAAACTCACAGCTCTCACGTTGTGCATTTTTTGTTTAATTCAACAACAGCATAAATCAGATCTTCTGTGTGTTCTGCGATGGAGAATTCAGGGGTGTCCCATGTTGGGGTGTCTCCTCTCGGGTCATGGACAGAGAAAAGAAAAGATAACACTGGCTAAGTGGTTAGGACTTGGGACTCTAGAGCCAGACTACTTGGATTCAAATCCTAGTTCTGCTACTTAATAAATGTGTGACCTTGGGCAAATTACTAAACCATTGCTATAATCCTATCTTACATTAAATTCTCTTATTCATACCTAAGTTTTCATTATCTGTAAAAATGAGGATAATAATATCATTTTCCTCATAGGATTGTTACAAGGATTAAATGAGTTAGTATGTGTAAAGCTCTTTACATAGTTCTTAGCTGTAACTAAGACAGTGTTAAAACAAACAGCAATTACAACAACAATAATACCCTCAAGTGTATGAGGTCTTCCCTGCCAGATTGTGAGTTTCTAGGTAGGTAGGGAGGGACCGTGTCTTATTTATGGAATTTTGCATCTTGGCCCCAGTGCCCAGCACATAACAAAGACCTTCGTCAAATGTCTGTTACTTGAAAGGATGAATGAACTTTTTAGATGCACTCAGAGGGTGATTCCTTACCAGGCTACAGATCAAAAAGTAGACATTATCAAACACCTTGGTGATTGTCCTTGGGGGAAGTGTTCTCAAAGCAACCAGGGAGTGTGTGGATGAAATGTTCCGGAGAGTTAAATTTCAGAAGTTAAAGATGATGCTGTAATTTAACTTTTCAGAAGTTAAAGAAGCTGCTATAACTATCAGGGCCAGGGAAGGTATAGCTCAGTGGTATAGTGCGTGCTTAGAATGCATGAGGTCCTGGGTTTAATTCCCAGTACCTCCATTTAAAAAAACAAATTAAAAATAAATAATTAGAACTCATTACCTTCCTCCCTCAAAAAAATCATAAAAAAACAGAAATGCAAATACTTAAAAAAAAAAGAAGAACTACATAGACAGCAGAAAAGAAAAACACTAAGCAATGTAAGAATGAAAGTCTTTATTTGGGGGAAGGAGATTCTGTACTAGTCAAATGAAAAAACCCCTCTAGAATAGGGGTGGCAAACTTTCTCTGTAAAAGACCAGATAGAAAATATATTAGGCTTTGTGGGTGATGCTGTCTCTGTTGCCACTACTCAACTCTGCTGCCGCCAAGCGAAGCAGACAGAGACAATATGTAAACCACTGGATATGGCTGTGTTCCAATAAAACTATTTACAAAAACAGAAAGTGGGTTGGATTGGCTTTGGGGCTGTAGTTTGTTGACCTCTGCACTAGAACAATGTCAGGAATGAATAAAGGAATAACTGGAGAAGGACAACTGGAGAAGCAGTTTGCACAGAATCTTTTATGAGAAAAGAGAATGGCTACAATGTTCTAGGGAATCCTCCTGCCACATGTGTAGCTACAGGGAGCACTTAATACTACCACTTCAGTCTTAAATGTAGCAAATATGGAGAAGTGTGGACAAAAAACATGCAATATCGTAACTTTTTTGGATAAAAAAGTACACTTAAATTGGATTGAAACTCATTTATATTAAAAATAGAGAGAACAGACAATTCAAAATAGAGACTCCTTAAGTTATCTCTATTTATCTGCAAAATGGGTTTTATGTTGTTGACTGAATAAATGCACAACCTAAAGGTTGAGAATTATGTTTTATTTGGTGGACAGTTCTGAGGACTCAGCCTGGGATGACAGCCTCCCAGATGGCTCTGAGGGACTGCTCTGAAGAGGTAGGGGAGGAGCTAGGATATATAGGAGTTTTACAACAAAGACCAGGTAGTTGGAACCTTAAAAGATTACTTGTTAACTGAAGAAAACCAGACATCTCAAACTAAAGAATTTAGAGCTTTTCTATGCATGGGAGGAAGCAAACATTTGGACCCATTGAATTCATTCCTTTGACAAGCACCTAGCTATCTAGGGCCAGTATCCTGTTCTTTCTTATTCTGAGTCTCCTCAGAGTGCACCATTATGAGTGGCTGCAGAGGCTGGGCTGCAGGCTTCTCTTCACTGGGGGGGAGGGGGGGAGGGGATGGCAGCCACTGATGACTTGATGGCTTCAGCATTCTCTGTTTACTGACATGGTTTGCAGTATTTTTTGTTCACAATATTTATGTTAAGGAAGAGATTTATGATCTGGGAATTTACCAAATTTCAAGAACAATAATGAAAGCAAACCTGAAAAACGTCTCCAGACAGCCATTTCAGCCCCCAGCTTCCTTCTCCACACTGTAGAGATGCTTTAACCTCTCCTCAGGCAGGGAAGGGACTTCCTCAAGATGGAAGTGGCTCATTGGCAGCCTAGAAATGCAACCTCTCCTGGACCACATGCCCATTCAGGAACACATAACCTATAAACCAACCTGGAAACTATTTTCTTGTTCCTGAACAAGGTTTTCTTTCTACTTGACTCTTACTTGACATAGAATGGAACAGATTATCTTACAGAGGCAAGTTCTTACTTCCTCACAATTTCATTCCACAGAACGTCCCTCTGGCACACTGAATGAAGAAGCTGAGACTATTTGGGTATAGTTCTAATCGTCAGTTCTGGCATATTAATTTCTTAACTATTGGAGCCTCCAATGTAGTTGCTAAGTTTGCTGCATCACAGAAGAAATGTACCTTCAGCCTGTTGTATAATTATCTCAGGAATTATAAAGGCAATAAGTGCATGATTGCTTCTTTTTATTAATACATTAAAGCAGAGATGCATAATCAGCACTTTAATGATCTAGTGGCAGCAAATTAGATAATAATGTGATTACAAAATGACAATTACTTTTGGCAATTCATTGGCATCACCTTTTAGTAGCCCTTTTCAATGTATTGCTGGGGACCCTCATCCCAATGAGTAACAGGATCATTCTAAGGCTGAATGGGAGCTATGGGGAAGAGTTAATTACTTAACAAAACAAGTGGTTGATCTTTATATTCTTGATCAATGGGTCTTTGGGGTTTAGTAACAGCAGCAACATACTATACCTTTTTCCCTGAATAATGCCCAAATGATGTATCAACTTTTTGTAATGCAATTACCACCCATAAATCACTTCATTTCTGAAATATGGTGGCTTGGAATGGGATGAGATTGCTTTTTCACAGTCTCATTAGTTTAAGGAGGAAAGAAGAAAAATCTTGCCTTTCATAGGAAGGCAGGTAAAAATGGAAGGTGATTTCATCACATGTTAACATGCAAACTGGCTAAGAGAGAAACAGAAATGTTTCTCACTCATATCCTTCTGAGAAAAAAAAACATAATGTTGCAAAACACCTTTTCACACACAGTTAAATTTAATCCTCATAGCTGTGTTTTAGGAGTAGTGGGTTTACATGAATTGTTCTAGAAAAAGTCCTCAGTCGTAAATCTGGTGGTTTATATCAACCAGGTGAAATTTCTGTAGCCTTTCTATATTTGATGGGGCATTTGACTTGTATTTAATAGACTAAAAAATGTTGATATGCAATATACCAAAAATATTCTTACAGTGTTTTGATTAGTTATAATTATTGACAGGTAAACTTACTTTGAAATTGGTAATTTTGACATTACCCTGTCTGCTGGTAACTCGAAGCTGTATATTTTATCTCTATTGAATTTCACTACACGCCTCCTGTTCTTTCCCAAAACTGAATAATGGGATTAAGCATCTCTCAGTAATGAGAGCAGACACTGTATTGACTGATTTCTAACAGCTCAGCTCTATCTTTGATTTTTTTTTTTTTGGTATACAACTTAGAGTCTCTAAACAGTTCTTTCTGCATTTTAATATCTAGCACCAGAAACTCTATTATAAGACAACTCAGAACACTGGCAGAGAGAGAGCTGAAATTGAGGCCACTCCACAGGACCTTCAGCTCTTTATTTGAAAAGGCCATTTTGCAGGGCCAGAGAGATGGTTAAGTGACAGCCACTAGCTGCAAACCTGGGGACACTCATATTGAAATTCCAGTTCCAAATACCCAGAGTCAATGCATAAAATCAGTCTTTTGTGTTTTCAAGTTCTTGGAAGCAGGGTAAATATTTATGATTCCAGACACACATGCAGCACTCATTCATTTATCTATTTGTACATCCCACAATTGTTTATTAAATACCTATGATATTCCGGGCACTGTGCTAGCTACGGGGCATACAGAAGTGAACAAAGCGGCTGCAGTCTTTACCTTCACCGGGAACACAGCAGAAAGGAGAAGACAGTCTTTACCTTCACCGGGAACACAGCAGAAAGGAGAAGACGGTCCCCTATCGTTCTGTTAATAAACAAACTTTAATCCAGATGGAGTTGGTTTTTCTCTTTCTTTTCTTTCTTTCATGTCTTCCCTTCCCCTCCCTTTTATTCTCATCTCTTTCCCCTCCTCCCTTCCTTTCTGTCCCTTATCTCTTGGGTTCTGAAAATTATTCTCAATGTAATACAGATCTGATGTCCTTTGGTTTCTTAGATAATGTTAATTTGGGAATCTGAGATAACAAAGTCCTGGGGACCAGCAATGCTTCACATACCTTTTTTGATGGTTTGGGTTTTCTGGCAGTACTATACATCCCCAGGAGGAATGTTAGTATTTAAGAATACCTTTTGCTACTTCCCATTCTCCTTCAATTATTTTTACCAAAAGAGGAATAGAAGAAAAGGTCAGTATCTATGGGACTGAATAATGACCATTTATTGAACTCCTACTGTGTGCCATGTACTTTGCATAGACAGTCTCTAATTTCTCAAAGAAAATGTTTGAGATAACATTGTTACCTTTCATCTGTTGTTGAGGAAACTGGAGCTGAGTGAGGTTTGATAACTTGCCTAGGGTCACACAATTTGCATGTGAAGGAGCTGGGGTTGAACTCATCACCATGAGGGTGCAAAGCCCTCATCCTCCTCACCAGTTGCTGCTGCTTCTGGAGCCCTAAGTGCCCTCAAATCCACAGCTTGATAATTTGGACTCTTCATGTTTTCTTCAGGTAAGGATGTAGACAGTGGATGCTTCTTGCCCCCTGTCTTTAAGGTGAAGTTGACTACCTTTTTGCATCAGGTGATCAGCCTGGTGATTTCCATTTTGGTTTAATCCTAGAAAGCACTGGTTCCAGTCGTGGTACAGGATCTGGCCATGTGTTTCAACCAATGAAGAAAAACGAAAATTTTATTTCTTCTCTGGGATAATGAAGGAGTTGACCCCGTCATTAGGAACATGGGGTCTCTCCATTTTCATGTGGCATCAGTAGCCACCTTTTGCAGGTATTAAAAATGAGGCATAACCAAATTAATTTTGCATCACTCTGAAGTTGGTGATTAGTTGCAAGATGAATAAAGATTGTTTTGCTGGGGTTATCACATGAAGATGAAAATATTTTTTGACAAAAAGATGGTGTTGGTTGTGCTGATGCCTTTTGAAGTTTTACTGTCATTTAACATTTCTCAGAAGGTAGTCATAGGGCATTTGTAAATAAATATCACTGGCTGCACATTTTATTTTATTTTAGGAACGTTATTTGCTTACCACGAAAATGAAGGTTTTTGAAGTCTGCTCAGCTAGAAAACTGTATTTGTAGCTGAATAAAAGCTTTTAACTCTTGATGTGTTGCTTTTGGTTGCTTTTATGCCTGGTTGCAGTAACTTCCCGTAAGATCCATGCATAGCAAATCCTAGTGTCAGTAGATAAGGTTTTTTTTTTAGGAGTTAGAATTAATTGCAGGGGTCTAAGTGAGACAGTGCTCATTTGCTTCAAGGTTTGTCTGGAAGCTCAAGGTTATATGCCAGCAACAGCTTACAGTCACAGTTACTAACAATGGTGTCTCAAACTATACATGCTGGAAGAAATTTACTAAAAAAGTTGCACACA